GTCAAAATTTATTGGTCAAGTAAATAAACATAAAAGAAGTATGGTATTAAGTTTATACAAATAAATTAGATAATTTTTCATACGAAACTTAAGAACTAAAACAAAATTTTATAAAAATTCGTAGACCAAAGTAAATAAATGTAGAAATTTAGAAGTAGAAGATGTATAATAAATATACTTAATTATTCATGTAAGTTCATGTCTCATTAAACATCGGCATTAATTACAGAAACAAATTGATTCATATTTGAAATTTCCTTTATTAATAACAGTGGGTACGTAATAAAAGATTAGGTAAGTTTCTTTTGGAAATTACTTTGAATTTGTATTAATAAAAAGAAAATTTTTAACTTGTATTAATTAAATAGTTTTAATTTGAAGCATATGAAGAAGATTTAAGAAAGATGTGACCTGTAATTTTCATTACTTTTTTCTTCAGTTTAGTTTCCAATTATAATGTTATTTGAAACTTCCCTCTTTAAGTTATTGGTTGACTTCAAACAAAAGCTAACTCATTAATCACTCCAACTACTCACAATCTTTCATACATAGATTTTTTTTTTCTTTTAAAAGAAATAGTTTCCAAAATTAATTTTCAACCCAACAATGTGAAATTTAAATTTAGGGCCAATTCCAAGAAATAATCTAAATCAAAATTAATTGAAAAAATGAAGTAAAGATTGTTAAAATTGTATCATCTCAAAAAAAAAAAACTTTAAAAGTGATTTAGTTTCACGATTTTAATGAATTTGAAATTGTTAAATTTAGGATTGAAAGGTTAGATTTCATGTAGCATAAATAAAATTTTCGTAAAACTTAACATCTAATATAAAATGGGACTTTCATATACATTAATTTAGTTCGTAAATCGGATACACATTTACCTGTACATTAATTTTTTAAAAAATAATTTCTCATACATTAATTAATTAATAAGTATTAGACATATTTTGTTAGTTTTGTACCAACAAAAATTATATATAAAAAAAGAAAGATACATTTTTTGAATCTTTTACAAATTCCTTCCTTCTATAGAGCATTTTCTTTTCTCAACAAGAGAAAAAGGAAGGATTTTTCTTCAAGAATGAAGGCAAAAAGTAAATATATAATTTTCATATTAGGAGGGATAAAATAAATGGTTTAAATATTTTAAAAATTTTAAATTCTATTCTAAATCTCCCAACTTTTTTATTTAAAAAAAGGCACCTTTTTTTCTATGGTCGTGGTATTTAAACTTAAAAAAAAAATATATATATATATATATATATATTTATTTATTTATTTATTTATTAACACTTATGTTTTAATCCACACATATTTTACTTAATTTACTTATTATCTTTTTTCTCGAATTATTTCACAATAAAGAATTGAATGAATTTCAAAATTTATACTCAGGCAAGTGACTCCATTTTATTTTAGCTCACCGATGAGATTCCAATCTATAACTTTTTATTTTTTCTTAAATACAACAACATGTGAGAATATGAATTCAAAGAATTCACGACTTTTTCATTGAAAATAATTACTCAATTAAGATAAACTTAGATTGGCTTGAAATTTTTTAGTATGTCTTTATAGAAAAATTGAATAATAATAATTAAAATATTTGTATACAAGAAGAAATACTACTTAAAAATTTGGAGATAGAAATAAGTTAGAAAACAAAAATGTGAGATAAAAATAGATTTGAAACGTAAATTTGAAAGATGATGTAACATAAAAAGAGAGTGAGCGGTGGGTGTAAAGAAGTAATTACGTACGTGTATAAATCTAATCTATTCTCCCCTCTCCTCCCATATTTAATACATAGAAAACTGTGCAACACCAAATCTGTGCCTCCATTCCTTTGAATTTCAATTCAAGGTGAGAAACAGGAGTGAGAGAGCCATGGGAGCCTGAACAGAGAGAGAGAGAGAAAAAAAGTGTGTTTCTCGTATATTAATGGGTTCTCATAGTTCGTTTCTCAACTGAACACTCTTAAATCCCTCCATTTTTGCACCAAACCCAAACCCAAATCCATTTTTTCCCAATCCAGTTACTGAAATTCCCAACTCTTGGCATTTCAATTTGCTTGCTCTGGTCTCGACAGACCCAGAAAACCCCATGTTTACAGAAATTTCTTCCTGGGTAATTTGATTTCAGGAACGAGAGGGAGAATCGGAGTGGGAAAATGAAGAAATTGAGGACTTATTATATGCATTTGAGACACCCACCGAATATGGAGCGGCGATGGATCTTCCCCTTGGCGATTGGCTCCATGGTTTCTCTGTTCCTTCTTTTTCTTTCTATGGTGACCGCTCCTGGAGGAACCCCCCTGTTTCCGTTCTACCGCTCGGTGGGTGCTTCCAGTTCGTTCTTCGTCGAATCGAAGCTCCACCCGATTCCAATTTCTTCGCTCCCTCCGCCGCCGCGCTTCGCTTACCTAATCTCCGGCTCGATCGGAGAAGGGAATATGTTGAAACGGACGCTTGAAGCTCTGTACCATCCGATTAATCGCTACGTCTTGCATTTGGACCTCGAATCGCCGCCGGACGAGC